TCTCTTTTGTCAAATTTTGGTGTCTTGCAGACAGGTCGACAGGGCCTCTCTTTTTGAATTCATGTACATTGTTCGTAATTAGGGAAGCCCGTTCTTCTCGGGACCTTCGTCATTTTTGTATCGGTTTTTGGAATTTCGTCTTTTGCAATTCGGAAATGCATGGGAATTACGCGCGCCTTAGTGAGCGCACTAGGAATTTGGGTCGACAGTTAGGAATTCCGGAACGAGCGGAACCTGACGTGTCCGTTCTTGTGCATGAATGTTCTCGACTTCGTCATGGAAAACTCCGGGAATTCTCGTAGGAATCTGAATAGGTATAGGACTTTTTCCCGTGCTCACTGTACGCGCGGATATGGTACTTGTCGATTTTGAATTACCTGTAAATGTCTCGGTGCCCTTTTCGCCTTTGCGTCGGCGCCATGCATGTGAACCTCCCCTCCCCGCTTCCCTCGCTACCTTCGAACACTCTCTTCTTCGCAATCGTTTTCCATCTCTCCTTCGCTTCCCGGGCCTTTTCTCTTTCTTGATCGTATGAGTCTTGGTTCCGTTTCGCGCTATCCCTCTCGCTCTTCTTCGTCCTGCTCTAATCTTCGCGCAGAAATACTATGTCGACTCCCTCTTCCTCCCCTCTAGCCAAGGAGACGCACCGTGTAAGAGGAAAATTCATGTCACCGGACGATTCTGATTGGCTACGACTGGGATCCAAAGGGTCGATATGGCTTTTGTCAAGCGAGTATCCCCGAACCTTCCCCTACCCCTCCCTACCTCAGTCCTAATCCTCCCTAGCATCATCTATCTCCTTTTCGGCAGCTATAAATTCTGCAAGCGCTCCAGGAAATCTCTCTCTCAACTCGTCGGCCAACTTCTGGGACGCAGTGTCTAGATGGTGTGTGTGAAGGCGAGTTGAAGAATCCTGATGGGCGGCCTGTAGTCTTGTCGGTCGTGCGCTGGATCACCCAACAGAGTGTGGGATTCAGGCAAAGACCGTACAAAGACTAAGTTGGTGGAGTGACGATTGCTATGGGGGAGTAGCACGTGGCGGCCGGAATCGCCAGGGCTCGCTGGGAAGTTCAGCGATACTTTTTGGATTGAATTTCCCATAGGCGCGAGTCCCGCGTGCGACTTTTTCTCCTTTAAACCCGTGCGACGACAAACCTTTTTCTTGCTACAGTCGAACCAACACGGGGGATTTCAGTTTTGTCTGTGTTCCCCCACTCAAATTTTCAAAAATCCTTAGCACACCCCATCTTTACGGCCTTTCCCGTGCCCCTTTCCGCAAACCAAAACACTCCGATCGGAAAGCAGCGCAGGGCGTGAGGTTGGTATCGGAGTCGACACGTGTCGGTTCTGACGTTAGTAAGACGAGTTGGGGAGAGGAAGACCAGCCAACCGAGCTAATCGGCTGAGTCGTCCAATTAGTACCTGACAAAGGTCTGCCGAAACTCGACCAGAAATGCCCATGGCTGATGCTAATGGAGCGGTTCCTCGGGTGATGGTAAGCATCCCTGCCACCTTTCTATTTTACCCCAACCATACCTATCCCGAGGCATGGCTCGAAGCCATGCAAGCTCAAGGATATAGCGCAGAGGATCTTCCTCGCGTCATCACCCTACTTCTCCGAACCACTGCTCATGATTGGTTTATAAGACATAGGTGGGTAGATTGGGATACCTTCAAGAGAGCATTCCTAGCAAGATTCGACGAAGTTAGTGAGGATGCTGCATGGTTTGTGTTGAAAACTCGACTACAGGAACCCGAAGAGTTGCTGCGGCCCGACTTTGTGGACCGGTTTCAAACTGCGTTAGATAAATTAGGGCGGGAAGAAAACGATGTTCGAGATTTGTTCATCGATCACCTCCGTAACCCAGTGTTGAAAGCAAAACTGCAAAAAAGGGTTCCCCCAAAGACGAACCAGCTACCTGTCATCATTGCTAAAGCACTTGAACTCGACTTGATGGATACGCGCAAAT